TTAGTTTTGCTTTTTCATGGAAAGAACTACTATTCACCTCAATTTGGTAAAAAAAACAAGGTACTGTTTTCTTATTGTCAGAAAAAATAGTCACTATAAGAAAAGTTCTTACAAACTTGGTTTTGAAATGTTCAACAACATACAGTGTCATGGCAGAAGAGACTTAAAAACTGGAGATATCAATTCTGTAATTTAAACATGTAAAAGAAAAATCATATTGATTAATGACCAGTATCATGTAAGCAACATCATTGAATTTTACTTGAGATAACAAAATTTAGCATTTTTAACTTACATAGTTTTTATTAAAACTTTTTAGAATGAATTTTAAAATGAATTCATCTATATCGTAGGTATTTTATTTTTTTATTTACTTTTCAGGAGTCTCATGCTCTACCAACTGAGCTTTCCGAGTGACCTTCAATTACACTTCATTTTTAGATTATGAGTGTGTGGTTTGTTTTCTTTTTTTTTTTCTTATTACTTTTTTTTTCTTTTCATTTTTTATTGAATGGTAACTATGTACATTAATGCACTTCTGGGGTACAGTGTAGTGTTTTCACACACAATCCGAAACACTTCTAACAAACTGGTTAACATAGCCTTCATGTCATTTTCTTGGTTATTGTGTTAAAATGTTCACATTCTACTCTTAGAAAGATTCACTTTTATCCTTGTAAGATAAACCTCAGAAGTGATCCCTCCAATCCCCCTCCCTCCACCCATTCCCCTTTCCCCTCTCCCTCCCTCTTCCCTGTTGTTTGTTTTCTTAAAAAGGCCTAAAAAGATCCTAAAATGGTGATTGATTAGATAAGATGTTTTAAAAATTACCAATTTAATTCTAGAGAATTAGCATATTAACATATAGATATGGCCAATGTAAGTATAATGGTAGCTTCTGAAATGTACTTTTTTTTTTTTTTTTTTTTTGAGACAGAGCCTCAAGCTGTCCCCCTGGGTAGAGTGCCGTGGCATTACAGCTCACAGCAACCTCCAACTCCTGGGCTCAAGCGAGTCTCCTGCCTCCGCCTCCCAAGTAGCTGGGACCACAGGCGCCCGCCACAACGCCTGGCTGTTTTTTGGTTGCAGCCGTCATTGTTGTTTGGCGGGCCCGGGCTGGGGATTCGAACCCGCCACCTTAGGTGTATGTGGCTGGCGCCCTAGCCGGTTGAGCTATAGGCACCGAGCCTGAAATGTACTTTCATATGATTAAAGCTTGGGTGTCTTGTCTTTAAACTCTGGTAATTTGAAGAGCCTTCAGAGTACTGTAAATAATCTTGAAACATTAGATCAGTTACAACTATGTCAGTTAAAATCCCTCCAAACAATAAATTCTGCTGAAAGTTTTGTCTGCTTAATGGCATAATACATAAAATTAAGAAATTGTTACAATTTTGAGTCTAATTTGTTTATATCAGAGAGAAATTTGTTTTTGTGACATAACAATACTTATTAAATCATTAGAAATAAGAATTTTGTACAAGTTCATGTTCACTTTCTTTGAAATATATTAGAGATAATTGGAATAATTTTCTAATAGTTTATTGGGAAACTTCCATTATGAGAAAGTGCCTTATAAATCTAGCATAATTTCTGCTGAATGTCTATTCTTGAACTCTAAATAAGAATAAAAAAGAGGAAGGAGGCATTATAGCTTTTGTTCTTAGTAACTTCTGAAAAACTTTATCACCACTCCCAGTTTGGTTTGTTTCATTTAATTCTTGCCATATATAATCCTTAGGTCCTTGTATGTTTTATATTGAAGTAATCAGTGTTGAGGTTTTTCTGTTCATTTAGATTATTTAAGCTTTCTAGTCTCTTGTGTAGTATTAAACTGTTTATTGGACCCATACTGTTCAATAACTAAAGCATATGAAATTTACTACATTTTGTATTGATTCAATATTAATGTTAATCTGAAATCTTTGGGTGCAGTGTGTCACATCTGTTTTATATTCCTCTGTTTAAAAGAGGTGGCAGTATGGTATTTGGAGGAATATTTATTATCTGAGTGTTTTCTTTGCAGTAGTTTCCCTTAGTCTTTTGAGAATTATAACCTCCAAGAGACAGTAGTTTCCCTTAGTCTTTCAAGAATTATAACCTCCAGTTATAACTTCCCAGCAAATTCTCAAGTACCCAATTACTAAACACAATTAACTGGAATTTTTATTTACTATATATGTCTCCTTAATAGTTGTAACTTAAATAGTTGTAACTTTAGAGACTTCTAAAAATGATAGAAAATAAATTTGTGATGAGATTTTAAAATACATTCTTTTCAATTCAGCTTGCACTTCATGTATACTTTGTGTTTTTAGGAAAGACTTTGTTAGCTTTTGTGTTGATTTGTATTTGAAACTAAATTTTGTATACCTGGTGACCATACTGGTCTTATACTGTGGTGGTATTTATTAACCTATTTTGGGGTCATGGATTTCTTTAAGTAATCGATGAAAACTATAACCTCTTTTCTTAGGGGGAAAATATGTTGTATAAACACAAACATTTTTCATGTAGTTCTAATTAATCCTACCTCTCTCTGCCTGGTGTTCCAAGGGCCCCATATTAGGAAGTGCTGCTATAATAGAGTTGAAAAATCACTTTTTTTTTTTTGAGACAGAGCCTCAAGCTGTCCCCTTGGGTAGAGTGCCATGGCATCACAGCTCACAGCAACCTCCAACTCCTGGGCTCAAGTGAGTCTCCTGCTTCAGCCTCCCAAGTAGCTGGGACCACAGGCGCCTGCCATAACACCCGGCTATTTTTTGGTTGCAGCTATCATTGTTGTTTGGTGGGCCTGGGCTGGATTTGAACCTACCACCTTAGGTGTATGTGGCTGGCGCCTTAGCCACTTGAGCCACAGGTGCCGAGTCGAAAAATCACTTTTTATATGTTAGTTTTAACATCATATTATTGTGCCATTTACTAAGAATGTTTTTTACTTCAAGCTTAATTTAACATTACATTTTTACCTTTGATCATTGCATAATATTGGAAGATAAGCATAATCTAAATCTTATTTTAGAAAAAAAGCACAATTAACTTTTAATTTTAAAGTTGGTCTCTCAAGTTATACAACATATTTGACCTTCTATATAGACTTTAAGTTCTATCATAAATGCTCAAGCAAACAAAACTCACCTTAACCTTTTGAAAAAAGGTGAAGGCAATGGAAGAGAAAGATGAGTTCTTAGGGATCTGTTGTTTATGAAAGTAGTTCTTCCATATGAAAGATGCTATATTTGTTGTTTGGCATAAAACTTTGGGCTCTCATTTTAAGGAGAAGTTGTAAAAATATTTAGGACCTTGTTGTGCTGGTTAAGAGCTCAGTTTTGGAAATCAGTCAGGTTACGGTCCATATCTGGCTGTATGACCATGGGCCTATTACTTATCTGTAAAATAGAACCTACCCCATTGAAGGAGATAATGTAAGGTGTTTGATTTTGTGTTTTGTATATAGTATGTACTCAGTTACCCTTTACTGTATAATGATAGTGTTGATGAGAAATAGGAGGCGCAGGCTTGCTGTTCAGTTAGAGTGTTTATTTTTCCTATTGTAAAGTTTAGGATAGTATCTCTTGATTACAAAAAGATAAGTTCCTCAGAGTAATCATCTCAAGTTTTGGTGGCTTACAGTTGTCATCAGAATTCATTGAAGAATTCTCCAAAGATGGATCTGGCAAACTAACCTTCCCACATTTTACTTCTCACTGTTCAGTTGTTACTATGGGGCAATATGTTACAAGTTATCCACTAAACTTGTCTTATGTAACTAAAGTAAATACTGAGGAGCAGAGAAAGGGAGAGATTGCTAAAGTGAATTAAAAATTTGAGCCCTAACTTGTTTTTGTTTTTAATCTTGACACCTAGATGGTTGCATGGTATAGCCCCATAAATATTGTGTATATTTAGAGTAGATGATGTTTCTTTGTATATTATGTCATTAAGTAGAATTCTAATGTAAAAATGTTTGACAGGCCAGGCGCAATGGCTCATGCCTGTAATCCTAGCACTCTGGGAGGCTGAGGTGAGTGGATTTCCTGGGCTCATGGGTTGGAGACTAGCCTGAGCAAGAGCAAGATCTCATCTCTAAAAATAGCCTGGCATTATGGCAGGTACTTGTAGTCCCAGCTACTTGGGAGTCTGAGGCAAGACAATTGCTTGAGGCTAAGAGTTTGAGGTTATTGTGAGCTATGATGCCAGGGCACTCTACCAAGTGCCACAAAGTGAGACTCTGTCTGAAAAAAAAAAGTGTGTGGGGGGAATATTTGATAAACTGTATAAACATCAACCACTGTACAAATGTGAGCTTTAAGACAGTGTTCCCAGTGTGGTCTGTAAAGTAGGAAGAGACAAAAAAGAAGAGGGTGATTTGTGTGATGCTTTCATTAAGTAAATAAATGATGAAATGAAATAGTTTAACACCTACCTGAGTGAAAGGCTTCAATTTCACTGAAAAGATGATTTCAGACCTTCCTGAAAAGAAGGGAGGTGACATTCTATCTGATCCCTTTCTTTTTCATGTTGTGGTTATTAATTATAATTAGGTATTAATATAGCAGTGTTTATGATAGTGGGTTTTTTGTATGTCTCCATGTACATGTATCCACACATCTCTGTATGCATTCCAAGATGCTTTTGAATGATTAATTTAGATGGGAGTCTTAAGTGTTAGCCAGGAATGGATTATAAGCATAGGAGAAGCTAAGTGTGTTCTGAAAATTTTAAAGTTGGTATCATGGGAAAGTATTTGTTGTGTTCATCTATAAACTATCTCTTGTCACCAGTGTCAGAGAAAAAAACTGAATGAATTCATCATCAATTTAAGCCTGTGTATTTCCTATGGCAAGAAAACAAACATTGCTTGGTCACTTTGAGATATGAAGAGAGTACTTTGCCAGGCTGTCTTTTTTTTTTCTTGTAATACCTAGTTTTATTCATTTATGTTCTTCAGCCAGTCAGAAAGTTTAGAAAATAATATGTCCCCTTTTCTTTCTTCTCAGTATTGTCAGTGAAGCAGGAGCATCAATCTACAGTGTCAGCCCTGAAGCTATCAAAGAGATGCCAGAGCTGGACCCTAATTTGAGAAGTGCAGGTAAGAAACTATGGGTCATCACAAAAACATATGATTTTGATATTTTGGACACACATGTGTGGCATGTTGAATACTTTATTTATTTATTTATTATTACTTCTTCCTCCTGTAGTATTCTCTTGCCCCCCATGTAGCTGGGATCACAAGGTCTGGCTATCTTGTTGTTGTTGTAGTAGAGACAGGGTCTCACTCTGGCTCACTTGGCCTTAGGCGAGTCTTCAGCTGGTCTCGAACTTCTGAGCTCAGGTGATCCACCCGCCTCGGCCTCCCACAGCGCTCTGGGACAACAGGCGTGAGCCACCACGCCCGGCCTGAATACTTTAAATATCCAAGAAAATTTAAAAGATATACCATATGCATAAGGATTGACATGTTAGAAAGAAAGTGGTTGATTGAACTAATAATTTTTATGAAAAAGAAGCATATCATACCTTTTAAAAATTTTTTTATTTTTATTAAAGCATAGCTGTGTACATTAATGTTTTATGGGGTACAGTGTGCTGGTTTTATATACAATTTGAAATACTTTTCATCAAACTAGTTAACATAGCTTTCGCTGCATTTTCTTAGTTATTGTGTTAAGACATTTATACTCTACGCTTGGTAGATTTAACATGTACCCTTGTAAAATGCACCTTAGATGTGGACCAATTACCCTCCCTCCACCCATCCTTCCTTCTCCCCGCCCTTCCCTCTCCTCTTTCCCCTTTATCTTGGGCTGTAGTTGGGTTATAGCTTTCATATGGAAGTGTGGGTGCTTATATATTGGTTTCATAGTAGGGCTGAGTACATTGGATACTTTTCTCTTCCATTCTTGAGATGCTTTGCTAAGAGGAGTATGTTCCAGCGCCATCCATGTAAACATAAAAGAGGTAAAGTCTCCATCTTTTTTAAGGCTGCATAATATTCCATGGTGTAAATATAGCACAATTTATTAATCCATTCGTGGATTAATGGTCGATGGGCACTTGGGCTTCTTCCATGACTTAGCAATTACGAATTGGGCTGCAATAAACATTCTTGGTCTTCTGGATATATACCTAGTAGAGGAATTGTAGGATAGAATGGCAGGACTATTTTTAGATCCCTACGTGATCTCCAAACATCTTTCCAAAAGGAATGTATTAGTTTGCATTCCCACCAGCAGTGTAGAAGTGATCCCTTTTCTTCACATCCATGCCAACGTCTATGGTTTTGGGATTTTGTGATGTGGACTAATCTTACTGGAGTTAGATGATATCTCAGAGTGGTTTTGATTTGCCTTTCTCTGATGATTAAGGATGATGATGTGTCTGTAGGCCGTGTGCCTGTCTTCTTCAGAGAAGTTTCTCTTTAAGTCCCTTGCCCACCCTGAGATGGGATTACTTGTTCTTTTCTTGCTAATATATTTGAGTTCTCTGTGGATTCTGGTTATCAAACCTTTGTCAGAGACATAACCAGCAAATATCTTCTCCCATTCTGAGAGCTGTCTGCTTGCTTTACTTACTGTGTTCTTGGCTGTGCAGAAGTTTTTTAGTTTGATCAGGTCCCAGTAATGTATTTTGGTGTTGCTTCAATTTCCCGGGAGAGAGGGGGTGTTCTCATAAAATATTCTCCCAGGCTGATTCTTCAAGTGTTTTCTCTGCACTTTCTTCTAGCATTTTTTTATAGTTTCATGTCTTAAGTTTACATCTTTAATCCAGTGAGAATCTATCTTAGTTAATGGTGAAAGGTGTGGGTCTAGTTTCAGTCTTCTACAGGTCACCAGCCAGTTCACCCAGCACCATTTGTTAAGTAGGGAATCTTTTTCCCACTGAATGTTTGTGATTGGCTTATCAAAGATCAAATGATGTTAAGTAGCTGGGTTCATCTCTTGGTTCTCTATTCTGTTCCATACATTTACCTCTCTGTTTTTCTGCCAGTACCATGCTCTTTTGATCACTATAGATTTATAGTATAGTTTGAGGTCTGGTAGCGTGATTCTTCCTGCTTTGTTTTTATTTCTAATGTCTTGGCTATTCGAGGTTTTTTCTGATTCCATATGAAACGAAGTATTATTTTTTCGAGGTCTTTAAAGTATAACAGTGGTGCTTTCATAGGGATTACATTAAAATTGTATATTGCTTTGGGTAATATGGACATTTTAACAATGTTGATTCTTCCCAGCCATGAGCATGATATGTTTTTTCCATTTGTTAACATCTTTAGCTATTTCTTTTCTTAGAGTTGCATAGTTCTCTTTATAGACATCTTTGATGTCCTTTTGTTAAGTAAACTCCCAAATATTTCATCTTCTTTGGCATCATACTGTTTTTAAAAAATACTTTATAATATCTGGAGTATAGTGGAAAATTAACACAAAACAGACTTTAGTAAAATTAAATACCACAGATTTCAATAATAAAGGTAATAAAATATTCTTAAACTTTTTTTATTATTATGAAATATTAAGTTTAAAGTCTTTTGTTGGTAAAAGTAATATATTAACAAAAATATTTGTAGCATAAATCATGAACATGCATAGGCTTTCAGTTTATTTCTAAATATTTGTCAAATGACTAGTCACTCTTCTCTTGCTAATTCAAGTTGTCTTTTGATGGTATATTGCTTATAACAGCCAGTTTTGGTTTTAGTTCTATTTGATATACAACTAAAAATGTATTTTAAAATTTTAAGTACTCTGATCAGATTTCATTGGCTGTCCTTGAAATCTATACCTGGAAGTACATATTTGAAAATTTGTATGTTAACCTAAAACTAAAACCTTTCTTAGATCCAAAAGGGCTTGTAGTTTCCCTTCAGTTATTTTATTTCATGATACAATCTCCTATCTAAAAAGATTATCTTCTCAAACTCAAATCTAAGCTGAAAACCCTGCTTCTCTTGTGACGTTTTTTCTTATCACTTCAATTCGCATTGTCTCTAGCTTCTCACTGAGTGCTCTTTTCATGTTTTGTCTTATAATGGCAATAATAATAATAATAATGGCAGAAGGAATAGAAATAGTAATTAGTAATTATAGTGAGAGCTGCTTCTTCTTCTTCTTCTTTTTTGCAGTCTTGGCCAGGGCCAGGCTTGAACCCTCCACTCCCGGTATATGGGGCTGGTGCCCTACTCCTTGAGCCATAGGCGCTGCCCTGAGACCTTCTGATATTATTTATATGTGAAACATTGTGGTAAATGCATTAGCAGAATTATTTTATTTCATCATAACAATTGCCCTATGAACCATTTATTGTTACACCTGTGTTACGGATGAGGAAACTAAGGCTTGAAGAGACTATGTGGCCAGTAAGTGTGTACATAATATTTGTATATCTAATTTTTTTAATAAAACAGAACTTTTCTGTATAAAAAAATAAAATCTGGAAGTTTTCAAGTTACACTGAACAGATAATTTCCAACAGAGTGTTGGAAAACTATTTGGACCATATTTTCTAAGAGGTAGCAGTCCCTCAGGGCTCCCACTGCTGAACAGACTGCTGTTTCTTCTTTACTGTCCTGTGTGGGTACATAATTGTCACAGTACTATATATATGTGAGACAAGATGACAACATTCTAACAAGACTCTATGATAATTTAAGATAATAAAGCGGAGAATCACTATATGGTTCTAATTACTTTCAAAGTCTGTGTGTCTTTTGTTTGTGATTCACTGTGGATATGCCTTCCTTCTTTGTCTCAGCTTGCCTTTATGTGTCAGTAATCATTTTTAATTCGTATCAACTCAAAACATCTACCTACACACTTTGAGTCTTTAAAATCTGCTCTTGGGGAGACTGGGTGGAAGGGGGGTGATTGGTGGGATCACGCCCATGGTTCATCTTATAAAGGTACGTGTGAATCTTTCTAAATGTAGAATATAAATGTTTTAACACATTAACTAAGAAAATGACATGAAGGCTATGTTAACCAGTTTGATGAAAATATTTAAATTGTATATAAAATAGCACACTGTACCCCATGACAGTATTAATGTATACAGCTATGATTTAATAAAAATAAATAAATAAATAAAATCTGCTCTTGGAGGGAAATATTTAAAGAAGCTTAGAATCTCTACATTTGGTTTTCTAGGGGTCACTTCCTTTTCAATTCCTGTGTCTGACTGGGGATCTTTCTTTTTCTTAGTGATTGATGCCACGGATGACCTTATACTTTATATGAGAACTGAGCTACCTACATGTGTGGATTTTACCTTTAAATCCTCTATAAATATACTATATCAGAATATAACAGAACCTCAACATTCATACATGTGTCAAACATATGTAAGAAAATGACCTTCGTACATATTACTATATCTCCTTAGCCTGCTTATCAGCTTATTGAAAACAGAAGGTGTCTATATATATGCTTTTATATAATAAAAACATTGTACCTCGCATTTAAGTTGAGTGGATAGATCAGTAGATGGATACTATGAAAATGTTTATTATGGATTTCAGATTTAAAATGGGAGATTGAGTATTATACCTTTTTTAAAATTATTATTACTGTTTGACAGAGAGTCTCACTCTGTCACCATAGCTAGAGTACAATGCCATCATTGTAGCTCACTGCAACCTCAAACTCCTGGGATTAAGAGATCCTTCTGCTTCTGCCTTCAAAGTAGCTGGGATTATAGGCACACGCCTCCACACCCAGCTACCTTTTCTGTTTTTGAGAGACAGGATCTCACTCTTGCTCAGGCTTGTCTTGAACTCCTGAGTTGAAGCAATCCTCCTGCCTCAGCCTTCCAGTGTGCTAGGATTATAGATGTGAGCTGCTGTGCCTTGGCCTTGAGTATACCTTTTATTCTTTCATTTCTGTCTGAAATTTTATTAAAATGGTAGAATGAAGATGTTAACACTAGGACAAATGAATGGAGGAGGAGATAACAACAACAAATAAGTTTTGAAGTTGGAAAGCAGATTTGTGAATAATAAGTGACCTAGACACCTTGAGAAAGTTAATCCTAAGGCAGCATTGTGGAAAACAGAGAACTAACCTGGTATGGTTCATGGTACCTCTAGTATTT